TGAAGTCTACCCCCATAACTTAACATAAGACAAAGCTGATAGATAAAGGTACAAAAAATTACATAACTGCAATATAAACATCATTTACCTATTGAAATAAAATTTGCACTTTCCATAAGTGAAACTATATTTAGAATAAATTACTCTACCCACAACCTTCCGCATATAATTCTCCAAGTGAAGAGTTAACTGTAGCTTAATAAATCTGTAAATTTTGACACCGAAATTGTTGTTCAAGATACCATTCAAATGAAACAGCGCATATCACAGTCAAGACAACAATCAGACTACGTAACTCTATATTCTAAACAGAAACAAAAATAAAAGAAAGATGTAGAAAAAAAAGGCGCACACAAATTTATCTTCAAGCCACATATATATCAATGTAAATAGGATCAATTACATTTTGGTGCCTTGTTATATGCCATAATTACGCGGTGACCCTAGGGTTTGCGTATCTACACATATGCCCCTGGATTGCTACTTGCAACAAGGGGTGACCCTGGAGTTCAAATGACAAGCTACTCTCGAGGTTATTCGTGTAATTACAATTAACAATCTCAAGGTCGCCGTGTAGCTGCTACACTCAATTGTCATTCGTGTGTCACGTGTAATTACATCACCTCCGGGTACTGGAATATAATTACATAAATATTATGGAAAGATGATAGAGGAGACTGGATCCCCAAGTTCTGGCTTTTTTTGCATGTACAACGCAGAAACACATTGAAATTATGGACGCTTTCCAAGCAACAAAAAAGCGCTGGCTGTGTAATTGATAGAGAAACCTTCCAAAAAAAATAAAAAAAATAGATGAGAGGGGGAAGAAAACATGGAATCCTTGCGCACATCGCTTTGTCCACAAATGCGTATAAGAAAGCAATGAGAAAGGAAAGAAAGAGGAAGTGACGGACTGGATAGTTTAGCTTTATTCATCGACTTGGAGAGTACAATTTGATGGTTTTCTATTCGTAACCAGAAGGGCATGTTTCCTTGAATGAAATCTTTTAGGGCCAGTTTGGTTGAAGTATTTTGAGCGGTAAAGGAACTGAAAGCTGCCACGAAGTGTCAGAGCTCTGGCGTTTTTCTGATGCTGCCCCCATTCCCTCTTCACTGACATTTGCAGCTTTCCTCCTAGTTCGCTCAATTTTGCAGCGATTTGGACGGAAAGCTGCAAGGTGTCATAAATACCCAAACTGAAAGCGGTATCCAAACAGCCCCTTAGGAATCCATCGGAAGATGGGCCCCACATCAAGAATTATCTCGGGACTGAATTTTTTTTTATAAACTTTTGTTCATTTGATGGGTGATTTACAAAGAAGAGTGAATGAAATCTGTTATCACGTCAGTAATTTCATACGTAAAACCCCTCTTTCAGTAAAAATTGCATAAAGATTCTTGGAGATTGTGGCATTTAAACATCAATTGCATAAAGATTCTTGGAGATTGTGGCATTTAAACATCTTACACAATTCCACTGTAATTCTTTCAGTAAAAAATTCTCTTGAACTAGCTCTTTCCCAATTCTTCAAGTGATAATACTAGCACTTAGAAGATGATTAAATTGATAAAAGTTTCACTTAAGACACACTCAATGATAATTAATCATGCAACTTGATCAGAATTACCTACATGCATTGCATATGGTGAACAAATTTGGATTTTATTTTCGACAAAGGAACAAACTTCAGGGGGAAATGAGACTCCAAGTTCAAATATGAGATAATTTCATTTGACTTTGTCGGACAAATATATATAAACATTGGAGTCAAATGACATTAGTACTTTTTTTTCTAAATAAATAAGAGGGCATTAATGTTTCTTGGACTCCCAAGCTAAAACTAAAATTTCTGGCTCCGCCACTGCTCTCGTCTACAATTGAAAGGAAATGAATGCAAACACACAAAGTCGCTTGTTTCTTGCCCTCATCCTATCCTACTTGATGCTTATCCTTTTGAAATGAAACCAGGACAAAATATGGGTCCACGCCAAACTGCATTTTCTAAATTTGAAGAAATTTTGTCCTCGTAGAAATGACGGGTAGACAAGGAGAGAAGGAAGCGAGAAAAAGTTCCCTAACAAATGCCTTTCAAAAAGAGCTATTCTCTCTAGCAAATGCATTTAAAATAACAGAGAAATGCACTCATGAAATTTGACGCCATGGACGTCTATGACAAGACTGACAATTAAGTTTTGTCAAAGCATCCTGCCACTATCGGTTAAGAATTATAATTTTATATTCTTACATGCCTGCAAGTTAGGGGTCTTTAGGTATTCGTGACAAGCAAGATTGGAATCTGGGGTGCTCTCATACTATATCAAAAGACTCTACCACTACTCGAAATTGTTGCAGGGGTTGAGGGTTACAATTTCACACTCTAATGGGTTTTATGCAGTTTTCGCATAAATCTAATAACTTATGATTTGCATTTGTTAACGGTCAATAGTGTATGTATGACCGTGTAATGTTGCAAGCCTAAATATTCTAAAAGCATGTTTGGTAAGTGGTCAAGTGGTTTATAAGCCACAAAAATGGATTATGATACACTTTGATATGTTTGGCGAATGGTTTATGTTGGCTTATAATCCACCAAACAATAAGCTGTGGTGGCTTATAATCCACCAAAAAATAAGTTGGGGATTCCAGTTTATTGTTTGGTGGATTATAAGTCGTAAGGTTCAGCCTTACAAAAAGCTGATATACCCCTCATCATTTCACAAACTTCCAAGCTAAGTCATGTTCTTTTAAGATATTTTGATAACAATGCTGGATTATAATCCACTCATTTGCCAAACATCGTCCTACTGAAAACGGTTTGTAAGCCACTAAAATTCGCCAAATACTCTGGATTATAATCCGCACGGGTTCCATTTATGAATTACGATCCATTTATGGATTATAATCCAAGTGGATTATAATCGAAAGTTGCCAAACATGCTCTAGCTCAACGCTCAAGTTTCATCACTTATTTGGCTGGTTACTTGCTCGTTTTCTTACATAATAATATTTACATGAGAATTTAGTTATTACTAGTTGTTAATTGAATTTTTAATAAACCACGATGTGAAACCTGTAGTAGATAATAACCTTCGGCTATCACAAATTTGCCTCAAATTATTAAACGAAAGAAGTTTCACATGTGGCTAAAAAAAACATTCATGTGTTCTCTTTATTTTCACAAAATGAAGAAGCAACATTCTGGAAACTTTAAACTCAGAATTAGTTTAGCTAAAGTCTGAATATTAATTATGGGCATATTTTCCAATCATATAAATAGCAAAGGTCTAGATGAAGGGAAAGAAAGCACCTTTACTTCTTTCTATGCTGAGATGGCAAGGTGATGCGTCAAGATGAAAGACTAACAGAAAAAGACTCTATACATTCAAACAACAAAACTATTTAGATGACAAATGTAAGGCTCTGTAATAAGGCTTGGGGAAAATGAATATGAATTGGAAGCTTATTCCCACAAATGAGCAATATGTTCTGCATAATAAATGTACAAAGTAAATGAATGTGTTAAAAAGAATAAAGAACTATAAATGAAATGCGCATGCTCGTGAACTTAAAAGTTGGAAATTTCACAAATTGAAGAACTCATAAGTAACTTGCGGCCGTAATTTTTCAAACCAGAAGAATTCACAAGAAGACAAGGGGGATGGAACATAAATATGAAGATCAACCAGACATCGGAATGTATATATAAATGAATTTCACATTTACAAGCCCTCAAAAGAGGAATAATGTGGTAACTTACCGTGCATTGTATATCTAAGGGCTCTTTGACTTTGTTTTGCAGTTTATGACTGGATTTGATAAATCAAAACTTCAAAAATTGACAGGCGTTCTCTTATGCCCAAACCCGCTTCTTTGGAAGAAGATCCATTGTTTTGATCTCATCTATCTTAGCAGCCATAATGAAGTCATTCATACTCAAACCACCTGCAATGTTGTAACACGAGAAGGATTTTAAGGTGCTCTTGTTGAACTTATAGTATAATGACATGTTATTGAAAATATTATCTGGTGACAAAATATTAGCATTCGATACATTTGTTTCATCTTATGTCTTTAGTATAAATAGGAATTTCCTCCAGAATAGCAAAGAAAAAAAATTTAATGATATGTCACATGCATGAAATTATACATACTAGAAAAGCATTTTGGTTGAAATGATGAGTAGAAACCTATGCAACTAGATTGCTGGCTTCGTTAATTACAGCGGAAAGTTCACAAAACCTCCCAAGAAGTATGTCACTTAACCCACAAAACTTTTGCATTTTTCTGAATCTACTTTTACATAACCCCCAACTCTATGGGGGTTATCTAAAAAGGTTTCGAGGGTTAAGCGTCATTTCCTTTTTTTTCTTTTTTTCTTTTCTTCCTGGGTATCTCAAAATGGACCAAACTTCTTCTTGGAAATTTTATGAAATTTACCCTTAATTATAATATAGGCAGAAAACTACATTTGTGACTTTTTCATTGGCTTTTTTATGGAACAAACACAACCTACAGAAAATAGTGGAATTCATATCTAGATTCAGAGTCGCAAATGCTAATTAACAAAATACAAAATACAAAAACTGTAAAAGGACTAAATGAATACAGGTAGACTCACCTATTGAAGAAGTCCATAACTCCGCCCTAACTTGATTAGGTTCCACTATATGAAGATTTGGATAATAACCAGCATCCTCCGCAACTCTATTAATCCTTTTGATGAGCTCTTCTCCACATTCATAGTTCCTTACTTTCCACAAGCACTGGAGTCTTATTCCTCCATCACCCTCAACTAGCCTCCAACCCACAACCTATTAAAGAAGATACAATTAAAATCACATGGTGACATTTCCTAAAACAGAATAACAGAATTTTGCCTTGTGAAAATCACGAAATGCAGAAGACGTGTTTATGGTAATCTTGACTTGCCAAAAAGATAGTCCACAAGAAGAAAAGAAAATTTTAACATGATTGCTCAAGTTCAACAGCCCAGTGGATATGAATTTATTTACAACAACATCAGTATTACTACCATTAAGGCTTTCTATATTTGAACTTTCTGGGTTTGCTCTATAAGTGTTTTTCACATTAAGATTTGTTATAAGACGTTATTATGTTAAAATAACAAACACTATATCCTTTGTTTGTCCCTTTATGCATGTATTTAGGTCTATACCTGGTCCTTGTCACTACCTCAACCATGATCCTATACTTCCAGTGCACCATTAATATCCAGGGAACATGTAAAAACTACCTTCTCCCCTCTAAGTAGGTATTGAAGGATCATGTGTGTGTGCATGTGTGAGCATGGGTATGTGCGTGCGCGGGCGCGTGCACGAGCATGTTGGGGTGTGCGTACGCGCGCGCGCACATATGCAGGTGTGTGCGCATGCGCCCGCGCATGTGCATGTGCGTGCATGCGTGTGTGTATTTGTGCGTGCGCGCGTGCGTGCATGTCTGTGGATATGTGTCCGTGCCTATGTTTGGATATGTGTCCGTGCCTATGTGTGGATATGTGTCCATGCATGCATGTGTGCATGTAAGGTAAAGTAATAATGTACATTGGGTGTAATTAAGAAGTTTACATCTACCTATGAAAATACCACATTTGTCCATCCATGTTTATCGATCCAAACCATACATTGTTGTCTACACATCATCAAATTTAAGTGGATAAAAAATCATGTGATTAGGAATATTGTACCTATAACTTAAGCAACTCAAAGCTACCGACATTTGAGAGCATTACAGACCATTCATTTCTAGGCCATGAGATGTATCGATCATAAGTTTTCATTCAGTGTGGTTTTTTAATATCATGAGTTTCTCAATGTGCAAATCTCAAATGAATGTCTTGGCGCATTAATATGGATGATTGAACATGCACCTCTATAGGTAGATGCAAACTTCTTGGTTACACCCTACGTTTATTGTAACCGGCCCCTATACGTGTGCAATGCACATGATATTGCATGCGTGCATGTGCACTCGTGCTTGCAAATGCTTTTTCTCGTTATTGTATATTACTTCATATCTATTTTGTTTCAGTTTTCGTAAAATTTTCAATCTTAAATCAAATAGTTCAAATTTTCTATCAATTGATACCTTAATGGTCCTAAACTACCTCAGATATTTGAACTCTTACATAAGGTGATTATAATATTTGGAAACACCAACACCCAGAATAAGTATCAAATTTCCAATTGGGCGCCCACAAATCTAAAATACATCATGCAAAAAAAACAAAAATAATTTTCTACAAAATCAAAATCGGCATTTCACCAAACCATCCAAAAACAACCCAAATCCCCAAACCATCAATAATGGGCATCGACAAATTACCTTATTTAGTAACTTCTCAGCATCCTCCCTCGCCATTGGAGACTGAGAATCTGAAACAGGCTCGCAACTCCTCTGCGAAAGAGAAAGAGCAGAGAGATTCGGGATCAGAATCTTGTGCTCAGTGTTGCTATATCCAAGCACTTTTTCACCGAAATTGCTCTCGATTTCGGCGTCGAACGGGTCTCTGGCTCCGAAATCGCCCAAGAGATCGCCGCCAACGGCTGAGATTTTGTGGCTGCGGGCTTTTGAGCGACGGCGAGAAGAGGGAGAAGGGGTTGAGAAAGGGGTGGTGGGTTTGTGAAAGATGTTAGAGGAGGAGAGGTTAGGGTTTAGGGTTGGGACGAGAGAGAGGAGGGCAGACGCCATGGCGAGATTTTTGGCGGAGCTCGAGCCTTATCCAATTCTCTCTTTCTCAACGTCCCGACTCGCTTTTTGAAGGAACAGGGGCTTTCGAATTTGGGATTGAATAGATTGGGCCTGCTCAAGGGATGAAGGCCATAACTCGGCCCATTTAACGACCTATCAGTTTTGGGTCATGGGCTACAACGGCGCTCATAGTTTGGTACCCAGGGGGGAAATCATTATCGTTGGACGATTAGCAAATAACCTTCTACAACTTTCAAAATATCAGGCAACCCCCCATCGGACATGTATAAGTTTAAGATTTTGTCAAAAACAGCACCCCCTAACAGTGTGGACCGCAATTCTCACAGATAAAAATATCCCACTTATGGTTTTACTCACCTTTGCGAAAATTGTGATGTTTTGATATCTAGCATTTTACAAGGATTTTCTGAATAAGTCTTAAACTGAAGGGTTTTCCCATAAAACCCTAGTGTTTTTTTCTTTTTTGGCGGGTGTGGGTGTTTGGTTTTAACCACCTTATTTTTACCATGATTTACATTTAAATCCACACACCTTGAAACTTAATCATTAACCCAAAAGTTCCAAGTGACCTACTTTTAACTCTAAAAACCATGAATAAATGCTACATTATTTGTTAAATTGTAATGCGGCATAATTATGTACTAAAATTACAAGTACACAATTGATCAAGTTATAGTATAAAAATATCGATCACACGAGGAAGGTGGTTTTAAGAGATTATTAGAATTGGTTCTTATATTGTGTGCGTGACAAAATAGGATTAAAGAATAAGTGTGATTGTGATGAGTGGCTGTTTTGATTTATGTGCAAGAGATAATAAATTGAATTTTAGAGAAGAAAGAATCAAAGAATAAATGAAATCACAAGGCAAGAAAGAAGAATGAATAAAATCAAGAATGAAAAGAAAATTTAAGAAAGTTACGATGGAGGATTCAAAATAGATAAGAAATCTAGAATATAATCCACTAGCTAATTTCAATTACAAAATACAAACTATTCTCTTTTTATCATAATTCAATTTAGATTTATTAAGCATAGACTATCAAACCATTTAAGGAAAGTATAACCTATCAAATTATCATCTAAGTCAAAATTACTATTCATGATAAGAACAACAATAAAATAATAATCCTAGAATTCATAAGCATAACCAATCAAACCATTTAAGATAAGTATAGATTATCAAATTCTTCTTCTACCGATTAGTTCTCTAGTTGATTATCCTAAACATAAACATTTTAAGTAAAAGAGAATAATTCATACAATATAAAGGAAATTAGACTAGTTTTATGCAATTCTAAGATTCCTACAAGAATTAATTTCACATCTTAAGAAATAAAAACAAGAAGAAAAAGAACTAATTACAAAAATAAAAAGAAAAGAAAAATCTAAACTATGAACAAGAAATAAATCTAACTACAAAGAATAAAAATCTAAACTACAAAATAAATTGCAGAAATTAAATGCAAGAAAATAAATCTACTCTACAAAATAAAGTGCAAAAAGAAATAAAAAAGACAAGAAAATAAATCTACACTACAAGCATGAATGTAAATCTAACTAATAAGCAATAATAAAGAAATTACAAAAAAGAAATAAAAGAGGAAAATAAAAGAAAAGCAAACCTTCAAATTGCTCTTCATCTCCACCCTCATCATTCAACAAAGAGGAGAAAAGAAAATTTAAAGAGGAGAAAAATTATTATTATTATTTGCAACAAAAGTTATAATTTTTGGAAGGCCTTCTCAATTAAGAGTAGCCCTCCTCTCCAAATGGAGTTACAAAATTTTTCACACCCTTAACCCCTCACTCTCTACCCCTATTTATAGTAAACATCAATGAATGAGAGCCATTGAATTGAAATCTTATCCAAAAATAACAAATTTCAGCCTTAGATCTATAACAAACTGTACGATAGTATCGATGCAAGCATCGATATAGGCATCGATGCAGGCATCGATGCCCCATCGATGCCCCCATCGATGCAGGCATCGATGCCTTCCTTCTTCTGGTTGCTGTCCGCAGAACTTTTGTATTTGGCTTTTGGGCTTGTATCTTGGGCTTTGGCTTGGACTTTTGGGCTTGGCATTTTCTCTTGATTTTCCATTAGGCTTTGAATTATTTCTTCATTAAATATTTGAAAGAATTCATTTGGCTTCATGGGCTTTATTTCTTCATTAAATCGAGGGTTTTTTGTTGAGAGATGAGAGTTTGGGCTCTTATTCTTCATTAACCTGTAATTAAAGATAAAAGTAATTATTAGTGATATATTTATTCATATAAAATAGATAATGATGGTATAAAATTGTAATAAAATGTGATTATCAAATTGCTATAATAAAAATTGCCAAACGTCAAGTCTAGGCTTTTTTTAAAAAATCATGATAATGAACAGATTTGTAAAAGTTTATATTTAGGTCAAAATAGAGTTTTTCTTTTGGTTAATATGAAGAATCCTGAAGCAAATTTCTATAGTTGTTTAGAAATGTCTACCTACATTATTTTTTCTTCGAAAATCACTGTTAGACTATCATACTTCACCAAATTATTTTTTTAACTCATTTTATACTTCAGCAATTTCGTATACGGTGTAGAGTGCTATATTTTTTTTATTTGTTATGTTTTTTCTAAACCATTAGCTGTAGAATGTAACCAATTATATTAGTATAAGTTGTTATATTTTAATTTAAGTAGTTAGTTGTATAATATAGTTTTGTTTATTTATTTTTTGGGAAAAATGTGTCCAGGCCCCAAAAGTGGGAACTTCGTGTGACTAGCCCCCCTGTACT